ACTTAAGAAACAAAATGTCTTTCTTTTCCTTGCTGTTCATATAGTTACAGCTAAGTATCAATTAGTATATAAACAACTATTTATTTGTTTATATTTAGTTTTATTTTCAAAGATATTTCTGTAGGTTGATGGATTAGTTAGTAATACTTGTTTTGGGAAACAATAATGCTTATTGTTTCCACAAAATCAGATTTCACCTATTTTCTCACACACATGCATGCACATGCAATTGAATCTATTATTATAATTCCTTTTTGATAACAGCATTATTAACAGATAACCATAAATTTTCCGTTTGTGTCATCCAAATTTGTATCCTACTATAAGTAACAATCCCACCTTGTTTATCAAGAAGGCTCTAACGCCGTGTGCTTGTCTGTGTGCACTTCCTTCTCATCCCGAGCAGGCTGACGGTGCGTGCCGAGTGTCCCATGCACTTGGAGGATTTCCCCATGGATGCTCATGCCTGTCCACTAAAATTTGGAAGCTGTAAGTAAATTTATTTAAAATTTGTATTTTACTTATGAGAAAGGTGTGCATTTTAACAAGAAACTGCCCACTTGTTATATGTGATGGAGAGCTAGATAATAATTTTCAAGAAAACATAATGAACTAAATTCTGCAAGAACTTTTTGTTAGCAATAATGTTTGACTTCTATATTTAAGTATGTGATTTTAGGAAATATGTTTCACTGTTTTTCACCTAGAAAGCATAAATTAAATTATTTAGGGGGAAATTTCTGTTTCTTTTTTTTTTTTAGTTATATTCATGGGAAAAGTAATGGCCTATGGATGCTTATACTAACTACATGGAAAACAACTTTTAAAGAAATCGGTATTATTCTTTTTAGTTGACATTATTAATCACCTTTCTATGACTTTCAAACTAATTCAACCGGTTTATAAAATGGGAAAGTTGGTAGGCTTAAAGAACAACAAATAAATGCTTCTTAATGCTGAAACTAACAGTTAACAGATGTTGCCAGCAATTTACCCTACTCATGCTCTTAGAAAAGATCTAGATCCATCTGGATGTTTCATGGAATTTATGCATACATTAATACTCTTGACGTTCTCTAAGATCCCCTTTTATAATAACGCTCTGGCATTTGCCATGTGAAGTTGGCAGGCCCACGCTAGAGAAGCCACGACAGCAGTGGACAGGAGTGGCTGGTTCTCTGGTCTCGCCGTCGTCAGCTTTTTGTATGCATGCGAGTGGGCGGGGAGAATGGATTCCTAGTTTTCTGCAGCGGAGTTGTGTACATGGCTGAGTCAACTGCCGGGCTACTTAACTAGATTTCTGCTGTCAGAAGACAGGCAGAGTGAGGAACTATTTTGGTGAAGAAATGATTCATATAAGAAAAATAGTGGTAATGTGGGAAGACAGCAAAGAAAATAGCACATGGCCTTTAGGACCCTCGCAGCACTAGGTAAAGACAGGTCACTTTCTCTATTTATAACTCTCTTCCTAAACAGAAATTCAAGCAGTCTACTTCATTAACTCTCATTTTTAAGTAACTTTGGTGATAACTCCCATCGCCCTACTTTTATTTTCACTGTTTCTCATTTGTCGTAAATGGAATTTTGTTTTCAATAAGTTTCTCATATGTCATTAACTTGTTTCCTTTTGATTTACAGTTTCTTGGTAGTACTGATCATGTATCCCATGTGTTCATTGTATTGGGGGCAATACATTACATGATTTAGATGTATATGCTCATAAAATCCACAAACTAACTTTAGAGGTAGTATCACCACAGAACACATCATTGTGCCTGGTTGTACTGATTTAAGCTTCCTATCCTAGCATAATTCTCAGTATGCCAATTCCTCCTCATAAGTGTCCTGTCTTGAACAATACAGTTCATATTAAGTATATGAGTCAGGAATGTTATCAAGAGTGACTGTACATGGGGGAAAAAAACAACATCTCAACTCTATCAAGTTGATTTCCACTTCTGAGACCACAAATCTTTACAAGGCCTGCAGGCAGATTCATCATTCTCCCAAAGAGTGCCTGTGAAGTAGAACTACTGACCTTGTTGTGAACACATAACCCACTACACTCGAAGCTTTATTTTCATACAAGATGCCTGAATATAAGTCGTCACTGATTGAGCATCTTAAGAAGGCTGATGTCTTGAGAAACCTTGACATGGTCTTCCAGGTGACGGATGGCTGCTGCAGCATCTTTCAAGATGACTAGTAAGAACTGTAAAGAAGAAAGGAGTAGTAGTAATACAAAGGAAATAAAACCTTTCACTAAAATCCTCATCGACATCTGCTCATTAATCAATGATGTATATCATATGGCCAACGTTAATACAAAGAGGCTGACTTATTATCAACCTGAAGAAGGCTGAAGGTGTTCGGAATTAATAGGAGATGGTAGAGAAATAGTGTCTGGGTCGTGTAAGAAAACCTTAAGATAAAAAAAAATAGACATTTTCCCTCATTTTCATAAACCCAGTAAGTCTTACTAGGAAAATACGTCTGGTAATCTTCATCTGAAAGTCCTGACTGACTGACTAACTCACTGCCATCAAGGCGGTGCCCAGTTGTAGCAACTGGACAGGCTAGAACTGTTCCTGGGAGTCTCCAAGCTTGTAACATTTATGAGAGTAGAAAGTTGTCTTGCAGATCAGCTGGTGGTTTCAAACTGCTGGCCTTGCTGATTGCAGCCCAACATGTAACCAATTAGCCAATGAAAATCTTATAAATCCCAGTGGTCTGATCAGCAATTTACCCTAGAGATGAGACAGGATTGGATAGCATTCCCTTCTTATTTCTGAAGTGTCACCATGAGTTCAGGGCCCACTCCACAGCAGATTCCTAGTACAGTACCAGTGATAAGTAGTAGAACTAGGATCTAACTCCACAAAGAGGTTTTATTGCAATCCCACTTATGGATAATTCATATGCTGGCCTTTATATCTGCCCAACTAGCACCACTACCATTCCTCTAAAATTCTCTCTCCATAATTTCTAGACTAAGACATTGATCTGAATCAGTATGATTAAACCATGACTTCTGAAGCAAAACTGAAACAGACCTAGATTTTTAAGTGGGGTGAATGGGAATAATAATTGGAATTGGAGGATTATTGGTCAAAGCCCTGACCTAAGCTTAATCTGCCGATTCCAAAATAATGATAGAGTGTATGTTGCATAGCAACCAAATCTCTTAACTCTCTGAGTCAAAAATAAGAGTTCTCAACTTAAAAATGGCACCCAACCATGTCCCTCGGAATGTGCGTTGCTCTTCCCTGTCCTTGCAGTAAACCAGTCACATGTAAGGAGCTTGAAGGAGCTCATTTTGCCTCTTCTAAGTCACCTGTCCCAGAGCGGGGTCCAGTTCTGCATAACGTTTGGGTCTGTTGCAGTTTCACTTTGTCAGCCATGACCCATCTGAACCAGGTTTAAGCTCTACTCAACTAAATTCAGCATTCACAACCCTGAATTCAGTGGACTTTTTTTGCCAATGAATTTAGACAATGATATCCCAAACTATTCACTATCTGACTATATTTCATACTATAAGTGCTATCATGGCGTTTGTTGTAAAAATCATTATTCAGCATCATTTTACCATACAGAAACCATGTTCAATAAATCCAGACTCCTTTGCATGACCGGCTCCTGACAGTTGCTGCTGTCTTTTTTCTGTGGCAAGGATCCCTGGGTTCCAGCCTCACTGTCCTCTGAGCTAGACTCTCATATGTTTATCTCCACCGTGGAGATTTTGCACTTGCTATTTTCTATGCTTGGTTTATTTTGATGTTTACTCTTAACCAAATGACAGCAAAAATTCCATCCCCTAGACTTTTCCTGAAGGCTTTATCTACATTTGCACAGCCCCACTATTCTTCTTGATCACAGTGCATATTTCTTTTATAGCACTTATCATAGCTAAAATCATTTATCTTGTTTACTGGGAAACATCTGGGTGGCAGAGTCTAGAGCAGCAGTTCTCAACCTGTGGGTCACGACCTCTTTGGGGGACAAATGACCCTTTCACAGGGGTCGCCTGATTCATAACCATAGCAAAATTACAGTTATGAATTACAGTTATGAATTACAGTTACGAAAATAATTTTATGGTTGGGGGGGGGTCACCACAAGATGAGGAACTGTATTAAAGGGTTGTAGCATTAGGAAGGTTAAGAACCACTGGTCTAGAGACTTTAATCTCTATAAGAAAACAAAATTGATTTTGTTCACCATTTCAGAGTACAAAGCCTGATACAGTATAAGTACTCAATACATACCTATTGAATGGATAAATGCTACAATTATACAGCTAAAGTGCCTCCTCTGTGCTTGAGGTTTTTTGGGGTTGGGGGATAGGGGGTGGGGAATGGCTTTGCAAGAACAGGTTTAAGATCTGTGGGGGATTCCATTTAGTCAGGGAAGTCTTAACAGTGGAAGACAGGCTCAGACAGTGTGGACTTAGTGGGCGAGCACACCATGACGTTATTATTGACTACATTAGCAAGGCAATTGACTGTGGTCCACCTGTATATTCAATTCCCAAAGCTGTTCTAATTATCACATTTCAAAAGTGAAGAAACTGATGTCAAAAGTGGGTAAAACAATTTTTTTTCAAAATCCACTTTTCAGGGCAAGCATATTGTTGAAATATCAGAGATGAGGATAAGCAAGAGATAAGCAAGAATAATGTTTCATTTTAGGGGGAAACTATAATAAATATTCAAAAGGCTTATGAAGCAACATAATCCATATGTTGATAGGATCTTAACTCTGAAAACCAAATGTTTCTCTGCCACTATTCACTAGATTCTGTTCATCAATGTTAAATTGCATTTTCTGCTTATTAGGATAAAGCCCTCTCCTTTTTAGGGATAAACAAGGCCAAATAGCCTGAAAATAAAAAGCAGGATAGAAATTTTATCTTTTTTTGGGGGGGTTGGGGGGTTGGGAGTGGGATTGCATAATGCAGCTTTGACTAGAAGAGATTCCGATTATGGATTCTGACTCAAGGCAAGTGCTGCAGTTTTTAAGGGCTTAATAAATAAACATTTAGTGATTATTGAGCACCATACCTTGTGAAAATAAAGAGAGGGATACTTAGAAATCTAAATAAATTCTCAGCAACTTTAGTTACTTCGACCACCTGTCTAACATGCACAAGGAAAGTCAGAGGTCCTTAAAGGTGATGTCAACCAGGAACTGCTGTCCTTTTACTGGATCTGTGTTCAAAGGCTTTGTCTCACAAAGGTCTTGTGTACAACTCTGTCAGTCTTTTTGTCTTATTAAAACAGAAATGAAAAAGAAAACAACAAAACTATGTAATTTGCTGATTTATTGAAAGCCAAGCTTAATGTTATGGACTAAGTAGTTGAAGGCTTATTCAATCTACTTTTAGTTATGTTGAATTGTCTCAACCCCATTACGTTTTTACAGTATATTTCCTATTGTGAGGACCTCACTTATCTTAAATGATAATATCAAGCTTTAACATATGAAGTTACTTTTTTGCTATGGGATATTTCCCTTGAGAAGCATGAAAGGGATTACTCTCCAATTGCACAATGGATGTCACCCAGAGTTACTGTATACATTTTTATCATTTTTATACACAATGAGGTTGCCAATAAATTGCAAGAAAGGAGACATCAACCCTATGTGAAAAGAAAAGTGTTTGTTTCTTTCTTATTCAACAATATTGGTTGCCAGTTAACAATATATTACAAAGTAGCAAATGATAGGGCCCAGGCA